TTTTTTTTTTTTTTCTTTTATTATTTCCAACTAAGGACCTTGGAATATCGTCGTTTCTTTTGACGAGAGCAAAGAGTGTCAAGCTTTCTCCTCGGTGCACACACACACACGCACACGCACACACGCACATACATACACACAGAGATACATGCACACACACTCACATACCGGTTTCGAGAGTCGCCGGTCTCATCTTTTTCCTTCATTCCTCGAAAATTTTTTCGCTATATCAGCGTACAGGCCTCGAGAACCGATCGATTAACTCGGTGAATCGTTCTGCATCGACGCGATTTCCGGTTCAACGCGGCCGGAAACCGACGAGGAGGGAATCGACGAATCGGTGACTCTCGACGATCCGTAAATCGAAATCGAAGATCGAGCAGAAAAATTATTCGCGTACAATCCTCCACTAGAATCCTGTCGCGAACCGGAAGCGGAGGCGTGACAACTCGGCCAGAGATTAATCAATTTCTGATAAATTAATCTCTAAGTAACTCACGCCGCTACTAAGTTTCCATCGATTTATTCTCGCTCGCTTTTATCCTTCCACGCTTTTGTCTCCTTTTTCTTCCCTTTTTTTTTATCCCTTCTTTTTTTTCTTTTCTTTTCTTTTCTTTTCTTTTTTTTTTTTTATTCGGCTTTCAGAGCAATTCCGTGCTCGTAAAGGCAATATGGCGTCGATGCTTAACCCGGACAGCCATTTTTCTCAACAAGAAACGCAAAATGGGAACGTTCGTTAAACGTCTCGTTTTCCTTTTCTCCTTTCTTTTGCTTTTCTTTTCAATTTGTCAGAATTTTTCCGAGATAAGGAAGGAATAAAAAGAAAAAAACGTACGATAACGTAACAAGGATCTTTATAATTGGGAAGTGGAGAGAGAGAGAGAGAAAGAGAGAGAGGTATTATCCATAAATTCGGATTAAGCACGAGCCGCCATCGTTTTGTTACGTTCGATTTCATCGTATCTTTAATCCTATTTTCCTTTTTCATTCTCTTTCTCTCTTCTTCCTTCTCCTCCTCCTCTTCCCCCTCCCTCCCTTCCCCTATAGTTCATAATAAATTTTCACTCGCTTTTAATACGCGATCTCGCCGATACAACTGCAACTCTTTGGACGACAAAGGACCTGACACATTATTCTCGATTATCTCTACGATATAATATAATATAATCTTCCTTTTTTTTTCTTCTTTTTTTTTCTTTTTTTTTTTTATTTATTTATTTGGATTCACGTTTACGTCTTTTTTTTTCTACCCGTAAGCCATCGAGCCGCGCCTCCTCCGATGGCACAGCATTCTGTATTAATAATCTTCCAGCGTCGCGTAATTTTTTTTCCTTTTCCCCTCTTTTTCGCCACTTCGACACCGCATTTTTATTTATTTAACACGATCGACCGGTCCGGTCGTCGAGGAAAAGAGGAGAGAAAAACATTCTGTTCCCATTGATTTCTTAGGGGGAGGGAAAAAAAAAAAAAAAAAAAAAAAAACGAAGTGTATATCGATCAACCTTCAAATTGAAGGAAGGAAGATTATTTTTTAAAAATAAATTGAACCGTCCTCTTTTTATTCAAAGGTATTTAAAAAAGAATCGCGTCATTGAAATTTCTTTAAAAAATTTATATCGAAATCTTCTTTTTATTATATTTTTAACAACGAACGCTATTGAAACGAACTTTTTCTTTTTCTTTTTTCTTTTTTTTTTTTTTTTTTCTTCTTTTCTATTTCAGAGGAGAGAAGAAATCGAAATTTCCAACACGTTCTATTTTCAACCTGGTGAATTCGTTTTATATATATCTATAAATCCAAGCTAAAACGATCAAGCAACCACCGATTAAAGAATTTTATTTTCAGCTACCCGAGCAACCCGAGTATATCCCCTTCGTTTGTCTAAAATTAGCTAAAATTTTAAATCCGAATTAAAGTTTCTTTTTAGGAGAAGGGTGGCTCGATGGCTCACGAGGGTTGGTCTCCCACGCACTCAGGCACGCATTCTAGTTTGAAAGTCGATTTAGAATTTGTTTTATTGCGCGACGCGAGGGTGCTTCGTGTGTTTGTGTGTATGTGTACGAGTAATAATCGGTATGTCCACCTGTCCTTCTCATTTCGACTTACGTTCATATGTGCGTGTATGTATCCGTATGTGTACGTTTATCTGTATAGAATATATCTGTATTTTTATGTATATATATATATATATATATAATATATTCCCTTTTTCTTTTTAATTTGTATTTATAATATAATATATATATCCTCTTTTGTCTTCTCTGCTTTTTGTTTTCTTTTTTCTTTTTTATTTCTTTTTTTTTTTCTTTGTTCGTCTTCGCTCTATTAGATCGTTTACAATTAAATTACAAAGTTAATTACAGGACAACAGAGAGATTCCGCTTTCTTTCTCCCCTTTCATGAATTATATTTACAGCTTCGTTCAAATTAAAACACCTATTCTTCCGTAGCCTATCGTCACCCGAGAGAGAAGTTTTCTTCGAAATTCTACCGCCGTTTCATCCCTCGTCGAGTCGTGCGCGAGTCGAATCGATCGTGGGATTCCTCGATCCCTTACTCCACGATCCCTTCCCTCGAATTCCTTTCAATCAAAGCAAAGCTCCAATAGAATTTAAAAAAAAAAAAAAAAAAAAAAAAAGAAATGACTCTTTCGCACCCGATATCCATCTCCAATTCTCGAATAGGAGAAAAGAAGGCCACGATCGATCCGGTGGAATTCGATCGACAAAGGGTTACTAGGGCTAGGGGGGAAAAAAAAGAGGAACGAAAAATGGACTCATTGAGAGAGTTTTTTTCTTTTTTTTTTTTTTCTTTGAAAGAACGAGGGCATCATCTTACTTTATTTTAAGAGTATCAAGAGTACGCGGCCCCGACGTGATCGTTTCTCTCTTTCCTAGCCGATCATTATTTTATCCTCCATCGGACAAATTCTCCGACCAATCGACTTCTATCGAGGATACTTCGAAACATATTCCACGATGATCATTTTTTACGATCGTAAAGGCCACGATAATCCTTTTATTTTCCCCTCTTCTCTTTACCATCACTCCTTATACTATCGAATCAATCAACCCTTTATGCCATGTACTCGCGTACACTTGAGCGTATCGTCCGCTAAATTAAACCTGACGAGTTTAAGAGACTCGTATAATACTAAAGAAACTGCGTCGTTTCGTGGATCGATCGAATTTCTCTCTTTTTTTTTTTTTTTCTTTTTTTCATTTTTCTTTAAAAATCGAATATCCTTACGAACTAGTCAGGGACGCGAGTCTCGTCTAGAAAGAGCGACGGCGACCATATCTTTGACCATTTTTCCGTGAAAATACGATGATCGTTCCCCTCCCCCTCCCGTTATTTATTTCGAGGTTTCCGCTCTCGCCCTTCGCCGTTAAGAAGCGATGATCGAGAACGGAGGGGTACGAGCTGCGTCCCTCTTGGAAACGTAGCAAGAAAGGTAGCCAAAAGGTTGGAGGGGAATGGTGCGTCGAAACTCGATCGACCGATTATATATATATATGTATGTATTAGTCGCGACTACGCTCGTTTTCCGGGCGGGTTGATCGACGCGCCGGATCCCGGAAATGACGAGGGCCGTGGAAACGCGCGCCAGTTGCGCCGGAAATCATCGTGCCGCGCGTCATTTTCCGCCGCTCGGCTATTGAAAAAGCATTCCGCGCGGGGATAAAAATCGATCGCGCATCGAGTTTTGCACCGATTTTATCCGATTTTTTTATTCTACTCCTCCTCTTCCTTCTTCCTCTTCCTCTTCTTCTTCCTCCTCCTCCTCGTTTCGCTTTCTTTTCCTTTTCGATCGTATTCCTCGAGCGGAAAGAAGCGGGTTCAGGGGTGGCGCGCGTCTTTCTAGAAGGCGGAGTTTAAAATTCATCGATCCATCGTATCGTGAGAGTGGAAAGAACTGAAAGGGGAAGGTGTGTGCAGACGCCGTGTGCGTGCATTGGCGAATCTTCGTCCTCGAAAATGCGAAGAATTCCGGGTTCGATGGAGGTTGGAGCTTCCTCTTCTTCCGGTTCGACGTCTTCCATCCACCTTCGAGTCGCGCGGAATCCATCCTCTTCGAGAACGAGCGGCTTCCGTCCTCCTCGTCGAGGACGTCGTGGATCGTCGATCCTTTTAATATTTCTTCCTCGCTTCGTTGAACGATATCTCTTTCTTTTTTCTTTTTTTTTTTTTTTAATTTCTCTTCTCTATCTAATCTCCCTTTCACGCTCCTTCCGAGTTCCGTGGAATTTCTCTCTCTCTCCTTCTCTTTCTCTCTCTCTCTCTCTCATCGTAGATCGTGGCGCTTGCCACTTGGGGCGCCATCGATCCGTCTCTATCTTTTCCTACTGAAATTAAAAGCAGCCTGATATACTCTGTTCGCGCGTGAGCCGATACCAAACATCGATCGAGGTGTTTACCTTTGGTTGGTTGAGATCATGAAGCAAATTATATACATATGTATATACTTGTTCTTGAAAAATAAGAGAAATGGATTTTAAATTTAGCTACTTCTAGTTCTTTTAAAATAAATAAAGTATAAATTTAAATTACACGTCCCGATATTTCCGGCAATATCGCACGAAGAAAGAAATCAAGTTTCAGCGATATCCACAACGCTATACAAAGAAATTCTATCTATCTTGGTGCTGGTCCAATCATGCTCTCGCTTTAAAGGAGCCGATGAAAGGAGTTCGCGGTGGAGAAGATCGTTTCCCTAGAGGCTAAAAAAAAAAAAAAAAAAAATAAAATAAAATAAAATAAAATAAAAAGCACGTATATTTCCGCGAGAAATCACCAGAATGTTGACAAAAAGAAAAAAAAAAAAGGGTGGGACGAAATCTCGGCGAAAATTGCCATTAAAAAGAAAAAAAGAAAGTCGCGAAAAATCTCATTCCCCGGAGCGTGTCAAAGCGGCCGTGCCAACCAATTTTCCCCGTGAAACGTGTCCCTTCACGCTCTATTCCCCTTCTTCCGTCACCAATCTCCTTCAAAACGAAATTTATTCAAAGAGAAACGATCCTGGAGAAAGATTTCAATTCAATCTCTCTCTCTCTCTCTCTCTCTCTCTCTCTCTCTCGAGGGCCTGCTCGTATATATCACGAATTATTTGCGAATTAAAAATGCCGATTCGATGTCGCTAAGATTTTTTTCTTGTTCGGGAGAGGGGCCAACTACGGACTTACTCCGCTCGTTGTTTAGATTGAAGGATAGGGAAGGATAATCGCGCGTCGTTGCCAAGAAAACGAGTCCCCTCCCCCTCCTCGTGAGGGAGGGGTAAAGCACACAACCGCTTCGTTTTAATCCTATTAACCTATCTCGGGACGCGATAGGTTCCTGTACATTTCTTCGCCTCGAGGCCGATGCGATGTATGCGAGCGTTCGTGATCTTCATTCATGAAGGGAAGGCTGTTTATACGAGAGCTATTTTTTCTTCCTCTTTTAATTTAACTCGAATCTAAAATAGTATTGCATCATTGATGGTGCATATTATTATTGTTCATATTTTTCGATATTTTGAAACAATGTAAACATCATCGATACGCGAAAAAATTTCGTTCGACATCTATGCAATCTCGTTCCAAATCAACGATATATAAACGAGATTATATAAACTCGTTTATAAAAGAAACAAAGAAGAATGCAAAGTAAATTTCTTTCGATCTTCTAAAAAAAAGAAAAAAAAAAGGAACAAAATAAAGATAATAGGAGGAAGAAAATTGGCGTGTCTCGAATAATTGCTGTGGTCGCTGCTTATTGTTCGCGACGGGAGGCCGTACAAGTTCGCGCGCGCGGGAACTAGGCCTCCTTTGAAACTCGGTCACGACGTCGTCGCCATCGTCGTCGTCGTCGTCGAAAAAAAAGGAGGAAAAGGGAGGGGGAAAGAAAAAGGAAAGAGGAGAAGAACCGATTGTTAGGCTAAGAACAGGGCTGGCAAAACGGAGAGGGCGCGGAAAAGGAGAGCGAGTGATCGAGTCGAGTGTCTCCGGGTAAGTGAAGCCCCTTTCGCCGAGAAACCGTTCGTGCCTTCGAACTAAGAAGCGACAAAGAAAAGCCACCGATGGAAATAACACACTCGACTGCCATCGTCCGATCGATAATCTAAACCTGGATTTCTTTTTGTATGTGTGTGTACGTCTGCACGCTCTTTTCGAGTCTAGTGTTTGGGAAAAAGTGATTATTGTAAGAGGAAATTATGAAAGGGGTTCGATGATTGGAAAAGTATACATGTGAGTATACGCGTTTCGCGTTTATCGAATATTTTTTTTTTTTTTTTTTTTTTGATGGAACGACGATTGCAAAGTTTCGCACGGTCGTTGAAGGTAACTAACTGACTGGCTAAGGTTGTTATTAACGAATCTATGGTTGCCTCTATATTTTCCAGCGAAGAAATAATGAATGACCGAGCGCGTCTTTACACGATGTCTCGGTGTGAACGGGCAGCGATACAGAAGGTTGTATTTCACGAGGAAATTTAGATTTTTAATGAACGTTTGTTGGGAAGGGAATAATTCGAAGAATGATAGATTACAGGATGGGGCAAGTTTTCTTTGGCGAAAAATGTGTTTCTGTGACGCATGGTGATGGAGCATTTAAATCTCAACATTTTTATATACGTAACTTTTTGAACGTTATTCGATTATTCGTTATTGAAAATGCATTACACTGTGGAACCTTGTGATTGTATCAAATTATTATTACAAATTATCAAATTATTATTATATTCAAACACGTTATTATAAATTAAACTTTCATCTTCATCCAACTAAGATAATAAAAATTCTCATAATGCGTATATCGTGTACGTCACTTTGTTACGACTTTGATCATAATATATATGTGTGTGTGTATATGTGTATGTGTGTACAACATAGGATTTTGCTTCATAAAGATTTATCTCTCAAAATAACATTCCTAAAAAAAAAAAAAGAAAATAGAAAAAAAAGAAAATCCATATATGTATAACCTATTATCCTCTGCACAAAATTTTACTAAAAAAAACTATATTTTCGTTGATTTTGCAACGCAACTTGTTAACTAAGCTTACACAAGTATGAAAAATATACGAAAAATTTCGCGATTGATCGTAGCCCTTGATTGCAACCCTTTGAAATACATCAATCCGTGTCAGAGAAACATGATATGAAATTCCTATTAATTAAAAACACTCGGATATTTATTATCCCTCCAAAAGGGAATCTCTAAATTTCCTTCCCCGTTTCACACACGCGTCGTTGTCAAAACGTTCGCGATTTCGGAATCAACGTTCAATCCCCGAATCAACGAATCGTAAATCCTTGACAAAACCCTCGCGATCCTCCTCCCCCCTTCCCTCCTGAATGCATTCTGTGCGCAAAGAAAACAGGGGTCGACAAACGAACGAACGTTACGACGGTACGAGTCGAGGTCCTCGCGATTCGAACGAGGATCGAGGAAAGGAAGAAAAGGTGAAGAGCGAAAGAGGGAGCAGTGTGTTTCGATTGTGCAAATTTGCCTTCGACCTCGTTTCGAAGATCAGGGCCATCTTCCCGAGCGCGCCCTCGCAATACTCGTAGAAACGCGCCGTGCCGATCGATCGATCATTCGCCGATTCATCCACTTCGCCTCGAACCGGAAACCGGGTCAGCGGCCAGCTCGAATTACGCCGTAAACGCGATTAAAACCGAAAAAGTCGAGAGCCTCTCCACCACCGGCCGATGGATCCTCCACTCGTCGATTGCCGAGTGTAAATTTTCCTCGAGAATATGAGAATCGATCGACTTTTATAGGTATTTTCTCGAATGGAACTCGAATGGAACTCGAATGGAGGCGGGGAAAGGATTGATATTTAACGAAATAGGAAAGAAAAGTAAAGAAAAGTAAAGGTTGAAGTAAAACGTTACGAAAGGGGAAAGAAATTTATCGGCGATTATTTTATCTACTCGCCTCGAAATTTGTGTCGTGTTAATGTTTGACCGAGGCACGCGAAGGGATTGGTGGCAGACCGGCCAATCTTCGACCCGCCATTTCTTTGAATCTTTGAATAAACCAGTGGCCAGGGGTTTCATCTACGAAATGAACGGCGGGACTTGCGAATCTATCGGCCGCTTTCAAAGCTGCTTTGTGCCATTTCCTCCACTAATCCACGTCCATCTATAAAGCCACCGGAAGTCCACTGCAAACTTTGCCATTCGATCGCCAAGTTCTAGAATTCTATTTCGCATATACAAAAATATATATATATATAGATTCCAATTGTTGATAAAATTAATTTTTCATATCGTTCTCAACCAACTCTAACTCTTCTCTTCGAACGTGATCACCACCTCGATGTCGATGTTTCTTGAAACGTGATAAAAGCGAGCCTCGATGCGTCTTCGTGAACGAACGAACGTTAAGCTCTCCAGGCTGGCTAGAGCGATAAAGCTTGATCCATGTCGAGGAGGGGGCTAGACTTTCCGCTAGATTTAAGAGGAAAGCTTAAGCTTCGCGCTAAGTCTGCCAGACGTACTTCGAAGAGAGATCGATCTCTCGAGAGCAAAGATCTCTCGGCTGAAATTTGAACTTTCAGCCTCTAGCGAGCCTGGAACTTCCTCCTCTCGAGCGCGCATGCAAAGAGAGCGGGGGGAATATAGATCTGAGGCTAACGATAGAGGCTCTAACCAGCTCTAAACGACGCTATTATACGCACCCGGAGCACCATTCTCTCGCTTTCTCTCTCTCTCTCTTTCTTTCTTTCTCTCTTACTCTCTCTCTCTCTCTCTCTCTCTCTCTTTCTCTCCTCTTTGTCATTTTATCATTTTATTATCATTTTTCACCTCTTGTTTCACCAACGAAGGACGAAGAATATCCGAATATCCGATTGAAAATTTCTTTTTTTTATCGAGTGTAGCCATAATTAAGAGAAATAATTAATTGTCGTTTGAGGATCGTGAAAAATCGTAATTGGCTATTTCCGGCCGATGCATCGTATCGATTCAGCCGCAAATAACTTGTTGTAATCGCTTGAGAGAGATTTATAGAGGAAGAAGCCGCGGACCTAGCCGGAAGTAGTCCCGGAAGAGTCGAATCGATCTAGCGGAGCGCGATCGTCTTCTCGATCTCCGGGTCCCGAAATTGAAATTGAAATTCTCTCCGTACGTGTATTCCAGTCGCGGAATTCCAAGAAAGATTTCTCCCTCTACGGACTACTTCCGGCTCGAGACGCACGAGACTCATACAGACCCGCCGATTTTAAAAGATCGTGAGAGGTGCAGGCTCACCGTTCTTCCGGCCGGTCGGCCATTGTTCTTTCATCGAGTAGAAGAGGAGGACGGTGATGGTGTTTTGTTAAAGGTGATGTTATTATTATTTTTTTTTCTTTTTTCTTTTTTTCTTTTTTTCTTTTTTCTTTTTCTTTTTCTTTTTTTTTTTTGTTCATAATAACGGATATGGTGATCGTGATTGGTCTCGGTGATCGACTCAAGCGGTCTCCGATACCGGAAGCGGTGGCTGGCCACCGGAAGTAGTCATGGCAGGCGCGGTGTTGGTGGTTGTGGTGGTTGGGACCGGAAGTGGCTGTAGGGCCTGCATGTCACAGGTGTGGGAACCGCGCTTCTTTAGGTCCTGGAACAATTCGTATTTCGGATATGTTTCAATTTAGATTCTTCGTCCATTCTATGTTTTGTCTTCCCGCTTGCCCCTTTCTCTCTCTCTCTCTCTTTCTCTTTCTCTCTCTTTCTCTTTCGCTCTCTCTCTCTCTCTCTCTCTCTCTCTCTCTCTCTCTCTCTCTCTCTCTCTCTCTCACAATCCGTTCATTTTTTTCCAGAGACTCTTCTTTCTCTCACTCTTCCTTACACTCTCTCCTCTCCACTCGTCCAAACATTCTTCCTTTCTCTCCCTTCCTCTCGATCATCCCTTTCGCTCTCTCTTTCTCGCTCTGTCGTACATATCTACGTTTCTAGAGCAACTATATAATCGAAACTATATAATCGTATATATATATATATATATAAAACGAAGGAGTGTTGCGCTATTCTCTAGGTCTCCTCTCTCTCCCTCCCCCCCTCTTCTTCTCTCTTTCTCTCTCTCTTTCTCTCTTTTTCTTTCTCTCTCTCTCTCTCTCTTTCTCTCCGTGAACGTTTATCCGCTTGTAAGTACACTTCCTGTTCTAAATGTTCTCTCTTTCTCTCTCTCAAGCTCCTCGAGCACAGTGATTCCTTTCTTGTATGTATGTATGTATGTATGTATATATACATACACACACATAACTCTGTTTAGACACAAGAATGCAAGGCGTCTCAATCTCTAAATCTCTCGAGACCGAACAAGCTACTATTACCTTTTTTTTTTTTTTTTTCGAAGATTCTTGTTTCTCGGATGAAATGAAATGTGAGAGATGCGATCTCGCGATTGACGTCTTGCTTGCCTCGATATTCATCGCTTTCGAATCATCGAATTTCTCTCTCTCTCTCTTTTTCTTTTTTTTTCTTTTTCTTTTCTTTTCTTTTTTTTTTCTTTCTTTCTTTGCAAAAATACTACCACGAAAACTTTTCTTTTTTTAGAAAAAAAGACGCGGACAGACGAACAGAAAGGTGAAAAATTTCTGACGCCACTGAAGGAATTGAATTCCAGCGTGGAGCTAATTCGAGTATTGTTAGCTAATAAAGTAGAGTACGCGCGTTTGAACGAGCGAAGAGAGATGTCGAGAGGAAGGGGGGGTTAGAATGAGAAAGAGGCACGCGGGCCACGTGCACAAGGCAAATTCAAAGAGAGAAAAAAGTTCATGCGAAAGAAAGAAAAAGAAAAAAGAAAAAAGAAGAAGAAGAAGAAAAGAGGAAAGAATACAGTGAACGATCATAAGAATGAGAGATCGGAGAAAGCGGAAACAACGATTTGCTACCAATACAACAACAGAGAGATATACATTTTAACAATCACAAATACGTATATATATATATGCATATATATATATATATATATATATATATATATATATATATACAATTACCATTATTGAAAATAACAAAGGAAAATGATAACAACAGCGATACAACAACAGCAACAAGAACAAGAAACGTATAACGTATTTAACAGTGAAACGGGGAAAAAACAGAGATAAACAGTGTGTGGGTGAAAGAGTGTGCGCTGCTATGGAGATAAAGGGGTGGAACGATCGATTCGTACAAAGAAACATGCCAGGTGCAATAAGAATGATCCTTTTTTTTTTTTTTGACAAGCCATTAATTGCAATACCGTCTGTGAGTTTTGAGTTTTCGTATCAATCGTGTTCGTTCGAATGACGCGTTCTCTGCAACCAATCCTCCTTCGATATAACGTAACGATAACTCTTCTTTGTCCTTTTTCTTTCTTTCTTTCTTTCTTTTTTTTTTTTCCCCATATCTACTCACGTGTTTTACATCGTATCTTCGAAGTTTTATCTTCCATTCGAACAAGGATCGTTATCGAATCGATAACGCCAATCTTCGTCGAAGAATAATCGTTGCTACAGAGATCTCAGAAACAGAAAGATAAAAACAAACGCAGCAGTGCATTTTGCGTACATTGGTGCATTGCAAAAGTTACTCTGAGAATGCGATACATACGTCGAAGCTTCGCCATTTATTATCCAACTCAAATATTTGATGGCCATTTGCGAAAAAATAAAAGCGAATTTCACGTTATTCGATTCAACCTTTTCCTCCCTTTAACTTTTCCTCAATCGTCTCTACGTATATACCCAACTGTACTTCGAATATACGCGATTCCTATATATATATATAAATTTTAATCGAAATGTAGTCGAACAAGGAACCATACATCCTCCAAGAATAACTCTAAGGTTAACAAGTAACGATAAAATCAAAATATTCGCGAATAAAAAAAAAAAGTAACGGAAATCCGCGTACAGAAACCTTTCGAGTTCCCCGGGCAAAATTTGCACACTGCATCCGTGCACCCGCAATGCGGTTCCTTCTCTTCCTTGTATTTTCATTATATATATATATATATATATATATATATATATTCGCAGTGGTCTCGCTCGAGTTGTCGAGTTCGACAAGCGTCGTTAATCCTTTTCAACCGGCCTGTCCGCGATTCCTCCTTCTTCCTGTCCGCGATGCAACTGCGCGGTTTAAACTCAAGGCTCGTTCGCGCGACGGGAACGAAATTTATGCGCGGCCGTTAAATTGAATCGCGTCTCCCCATTGAGGAATGCGATCAACCGTCATCCCTGGTGAATAATAATAATTAGACGGGCAAGTACGAGGGGAAAGTTAGGGAGAGAGGAATCGTCAAGCTAACTGATCACAGTTGGCGAATTTCTATTTGATATCGGCGTCACGCAAACTTTGTGCCAAAGACCGTGTGCTATCATTAGCACTGATGTTACGGTTAACGACAAGATTAGAGAACCGATCCGGAGTTTAATATCCAACTTTTAACCCGATTATTGAATGTCCCTAAGTTTCGTTTTATTTTATAAAAATAATAAAAATAAATATATAATAATAATAAATATAATATATAATATAATATATAATATAAAATAATATAAAATATAAAATATAATAAATATAATAATAAAAATAAAAAATAAAAATAAAATAAAAATAAAAAATATCCACGCAACGATAAAACCAAGATAAAACGAAAAAAAGGGACGAATGAAATTCGTTTTTAGAAAAGAATTCTGGAAAATTGCTTTCTGGAAAATTATTATTATTATTATTATTATTTTCTATATTCTCTTGAAAACGATTCTCTCTCTCTCTCTCTTTCTCTCGAGAATTTTTATTCTCAAAATCGCGTCACGGAAAATGTCCCACTAACAATCGTATAAGAGAGAATACGATACGAGAGATGGTTTTAGATCCGAAGAAACATGGATCCTCGAAATTCGTCGCGTGAACGGGGTTTAACACGGGGGGGGAAGAGGGAAGGGGGGAGGTGGTCGCGTTGCTTCCTTTTTGCCCGATGACGCACGAGACACGCGTGTTGTTCTCTTTCGGTGGCGCGTGCCACCGCGCGTTATTTCGGTTCGCGAGGAGTCGGGTTTGTCGCGCGATTGATCCAGCCTCGGTTGGAGTTCACGCAGTTCTCGGGACGCGACGGACGCAAAAAGGCCCGAGGCTTTGCTCGTAAAGGTTTGTGGGGCTGAATGACGGGATTGGCACGATACCATTGGGAAATTGACAAAGGGAAAGCAAAACTATTTACCTTTCTCGATCTCGCAATAATTCTATCGTTTAAGATGAAAATGAAAACAGAAATTAAATTTTTTATGAAAATTAATGAAAATAAAAGAAAATAAAAATCTCTCTTTCGAAACGTTCTTAAACGGATCCCTTTACTTAGGGCCATTGATTGAATTAAATATCAAAAGCGGGGAAATTAGAAATTATTTCAACATAATCAAAGAAGGCACAAGAACAAGTTTCGTTTCGAAAAAGCGAAAATAAAAATAAGGGAAATAAATAAGGGAGATAACGAAAGATAATGAAATTTCTATGGAAGGATAAACGATATTCCCCGGTGAATCTCGAAACGGAGGCGGGAGGATCGCGAGGCAGTCACGTACACGCGATGCTCACGTTTGCGCGGAGTCGCGTGGCATTAGCACAATACAAGGGAAACGCATTAGGACGGCGTGAAAGGATCTGGTCGCGAATTTCGTCCTCGCCTTCGTAACGGGGATGCATTAATCATCGGTTGGCACGAGGAGGGCGCGGATGAGGCGGGTCGGTTATTAAAGGCAGAGGGCCATTAGTATCCCGTGCACGCAGCACCGGGGACTTGAAAGGTGAACTCGATCGTAAAATGAATCACGCGACTTAAAGGGTTAAAAATTAAGCGACGAAAGGGGAACATAGACGTATGCAAAGACGGCGGTATGGAATTGTTGAAGTAGGCGAGATAATAAAACGATTCGTATGCGTATGTTCGAAAATTTAGCCTTGGCGGGAATAGAAAGGTATATAATAGAAATTTTCCGTGTTTCCCAACGTACTTCATCCTTCCAACAAATCGTGATGAGAAAGTAAATTATGTGAAATTGTACGTTCTTAATCCTTTTTGAGGTTAATTGCACCCTCCATGCGTTAATATAGTATAGCGAAAATTTGGAAAAATCTCTTAATAAGGATTAGAAATCTTGTAGATTGAGAAACACTAAATTTCTGAAATATATCAAATCACTTTATATATATATATATTTTTATTTCATTCACGCGTCAACGAACGAAAAATTCTCCATAAAATTTCAATTTTATGGAATTGAAGGAAGCAACGTCGCGATCTTCGCGTTTATTCATCCCCCTAAAAACTTGGACAGAGGCGGTGAACAAAAGGGAAAACGATCGAATGGCGGACGTGGCCGAAAGAAAAGGCGTAAAAAAAAAGAAAAAAAAAAAAAGAAAGGAGCTTAAAATCTACTTCGCTGGAGCCGAAATATATTATTAACCCTGTCCGAGTTTATCCTGATTTCTTTTTCTCTCTCTCTCTCTCTTTCCCTCTCTATCCCCCTAAGAAGCGGCCAGACATCGTAAAATAATTATCCTCGTGCTTGTTCCGAGACGATCTCAACCTAGCTGCGAATGGAAAGCTCGCTAAAGTAAAAGAAACTTGTAGCAGCGGATTCAAAGCCACGAAGGGTGGATTGAGGGTGGACGAGGGGATGGACGGGAGAAGGACGAAGATACGCTTGTTCTATTTGGATAGCAGGTGGGGGAAAGAAGAAGCGTAGTAGCGTAGGATCACCGGATAAGAGAGATGCATAAATCAGAAAGCCAGATCAAGAGTCAGCCGCAACACGACGAGGCTCGAGTGGGCGCCATGCCAAAAGGGAGGGATGATCGCGAAAGAAAGGAAAAGTAAGAAAAAGTAACCAAGAACCGAGAGAGGAAACCGCGAAAGCAAAAGAAAATCGAGAAAATTCCCTTTTCTCGAAAGCGAGGGGAACGAAAATGAAAGTTTTTTTTTTTTCGAAAGATCCAAGTTTCACAATTTTTTTTCTTTTTTTCGAAAAAAAAGATAGAATATCGGAAATCTACGTGTGCGTGATTCGAGATACGGATGGAGTAAACGCATGGAGTAGGAGTAATAGAAGAAAGAAGAATGCGATGGAGAAGAAGCGAGGGAAGTAAACGTATCTCGGGGTAAGCAGACACCCAGAAGCCAATCCAAGGATCAGCCACGCGACACGATATAGTTCTCGACCACCAAGGGGATGCATGGGGAGGCCTTCGTGTGTCCTTCGTCCTGATCCTTCCTTCGAAGGACAAGAAAAGCTGCCTCATATTCTCCCAACGGCCATACACTGTTGTACATATACATATATATATATACATATACATATACATATACATGTATATACATATATAGATCTTACACACACATTTGATAAACATCGTGGAAGATTGCACACGCGCCCGCGATCCCACGCGCTCGTGGCATAGCGTGTAATGCCCGTGCTTGTATACGACGTGAGAGTATAAATTCAAGGATTTTTCATCCCTTCACGATGAAAATCTTTTATTTATTTGTTTAAGAACCGGCCCTCAGAGTTTTCGATGGGAATAAAATCTTTCGTGGTTGCTCAAAGATTGAAGATCTCTGATCTCTTATCCCTTTTCATTATTCTCTCCGTTAATTTTTCTCTTTTCTTTTTCCTTCTCTGGAAAAATGAAAACCGTACTATTATGTTTTTTCTTTTCTTTTTATATATATATATAAATCTTCACATCCGTGTATACAAGCGAGAACGTATTACCCGCGAGGGGCGCGTGGATCGTGAAGCGCGCGCACAAAAGCAACGAAACGATATAACATAGTATGTAATGTACATCGATTATCATCGTATCCAAAACGGTTTTCAGGTAACACGGTTTTCTTTACCTTTTTCCGCACTTGTATACGGTCTTCATATACGAGCACCACTCTATCCTTGCTCTCGTTCGAGGTGAGCTGATAAGACAAGCTCTAAAAATGGACGTGCGATATTTTTCAGCGGCCATCGTTCAAAATATGTCACGATATATATTTTGTGTATATATATATATATTTTTTTTCGTTTTTCATTTTTATTTAGTTTCGTTTCGAATCATCATTTTTTTTTTTTTTTTTAATGCCATCGTGCATTCATCGATCACGATATATATATATGTATATATTTTTTTTTCGTTTTCATCATCGGATGATTCGTTGGTAGTTTGTTTTTATCGTTATCATTTGTCATTATTATCGATTTATTGATGTTATTATTATTATTATTATTATTATTATTATTTTTTTAATTTCGTCCATGAAGATATCCAATATGAAAGAGAGGAAAAAGAAGAGAGAGAGCGCGCGAGAGAGATCCATCGGATTCGTTATGAGTTTCGCACGGGTTTGGACGAATTGTTTATTCGATGTTTATTATTAGTAGTAGTAGTATTAGTGTTGGTATTGTTCCGTGATTCGTTAAAAATTCGTTTTTTTTTTTTTTTTTTTTTTTTTTTTTTTG